GGTACTGGGGACCATAGAGAGTGATATCAGCTCATGCTGTGTCACCCTTGCATCTGCCAACTCCCTGCTTTCTTTGCAGTGCAAACCCCTTTGATCGTCCACATTGGGTTTCTATCTAAATAATCCTTTCTTAACCGTAGTGTTCATTAAGCAGCACATGATTATTAATTAAAAAAAAATTTTAACCAATTGTATACACATCAACATTTATATTCTTAAGTAGAATTTAACTCAGTTAACCAATATTGGAGCCATTCCAACCCAGAATATCTCACTGATGCAGAAGAGTTAGTTCCTGGTGTGAATGGGATGGTGAAGGGATTAGAGGAAGAAGAGAGCAAGGGGCATGGGTGGAGTCAGTCCAGGAATGAGATAGTGGAGGTGGTGGAGTGGGTATTGTTTATAGAACTGTGATTGGGATTAGAGGTGCAGGAGGCTGGGAGTTCAGAGGCAGGCATAGAGGTCTGGGGAAGGGGTGAGCCATAGTGGTGTTGGGCTGGGTGAAAAATTCTGAGTTGGCAATGTTTAAGACCTGCAGGAGCACGTGGAACTCATCAGAGGTGTAAGTAGAATGTTCTAGTATGGGTGTGTCACATCAGAAATACACAGGCTTCAAAAGAGCCCCTCAAAGTGCAAGGCATTGAATTAGACAATTTACATACCTCTCTCATTTAATATTAAAACATTGCTCCATTCGATTTCCCGTTTTCATTGGAATACTTGAGATCACACAGATTCAATAAAATTCATCTTTCAATAATCTTAAAATCCCATTCTAGGTGAAGTAGCATTTCTAAATTTCACCTTGGTGGGACTCTGGTGATATGTTGCTCAATTGTATGAAACTTCATTTGACCCCATCATCACTGCCCATCCTCTCCTGCTAAATGTCTTGTTTCCTATATATTCATGGACTTGACATTCATGTGGGTGACATTCACTTTACCTTGTGAGATGACTGTAGATCTGGGTGACCCCAACACCACAGCTCAGGATCGATGCTCTAGAGCTGTGCTGTCCAATAGAATAGCCACTAGCTACACGTGGTTACTGGGCATTTGAATTATGGCCGGTCTAAACTGAGATGTGCTTTAAGTATGAAATATACATGAGGGATTATGAAGACTTGATATGAAAAAAAGAATGTAAATCATCTCAAGAATTTAAAAATATTTATTACATGTTGAAATAATAATATTTGAGGTGTATTGGGTTAGATAAAAGATACCAAAATTAACTTTATCCCTTTCTTTTTACTTTTAAAAAATCTGGTTACTAAAAAATTTAAAATTACACATCTGGCTTGCATTATATTTCACTCGGGCAGCACTGCTCTAGAGACTCAAACAAAGTGGGGTTTAGCAAGTGAGACTGTCACCTCCTTCCAGGATGACAGGCTGAGCTGGGAAGGAATTGTGTGGTGGCTGCGATGGCAGGGCTCTGCATAGAACCAGGAGGCAGCAAGGTGGTCCTACATGACATCACTTTAGAAGGTGCGTGATTCTGCAGACGGCTCTGTGCCCCTCAGGCTAAGAGGATTTATGGCTGAAGAAAGTGGCTTATAAATCTGTCATCTGCCCAAATGACATCATTGTGCCTCCGGTTCCAGGTTGGGATTTAGTAACTTTGCGGAACTCACATTCACTCTTTCTTTCTTGCTGTCCTATTCTTGTGAGAAGACAAAGGCCAGTTGAGGGAAGAGAGAAGCAGGGGTGGGGGGTGGGGGGATGACACAGAGGGACACCTGAAGGAGAAGTTCTTATTGGCTAAAAGAAAAGGTTCAAAAAGTCAGCTGGTCAAGTGATTTCTCTCTCTGGGAGTCTTCCATGTTTGCTTCTGGGAAACCACAAGCATTACCTTTATTTTGCGGATTAGGAAATGGGGGAAAGAAACTGATGAGTGATTTCCAGACATGAATAGGAGGTGTGGGAAAGAGAGGAGGGGCAGGATTTAGGGGTGTAATCCCTTCTGTGTTGAGATGGAAGTCCCAGTTTTGGGAAGTACATTCTGTCACTAGGGCTCCACCCTGGGACCTTCCCATTTCAATGACTTGGCTGGGAGAAAGTGGCTCTCTAAGGCTTCTGTTCTTGTGTCTACAGTTCAGAAGGTCCAGTGACGAATGGAGAAATTGCCCAGCAGTGTGGTCACTACCTCAGTTAGTACAGTTTCTGGGAAGAGGCTTTGGCATTGTCATGAGCCTCCCAGCTCTGCTTGGGTGCAGTTAATGCTTGACTCCAAAGGCATCTGTCACCGGCAAACTAAAGTGAAAACACAGCTGTTAAAAATGTTCTTTTTGAGTCTTGTCCCTGCTCATAGACCTTTAATGGCTCCCCCATTGCCAAATGGATTAAAACCTAACTTGCTAGCCTGCCTCCAGTGCCCTTCACAATCAGCACCCAAGTCTCTGTCTTATCTGTCCAGACTTATCCTTCACCATCCTCTCTCACATCCCCTCAGCTACAGCCAAAGCGCGTGTCTGCCAGATCCTCTACATGCCCCACACTCTTGCATCTACTTGCCATGTTTATTGCCGAGAAGTCCTAGCTACAGTCTTTACGTATCAACATCTTCCTTCTCCGTGAGCAGCCCTCCCCGGCCTCCACAGCACTTTATACGTCTTTTATGGTCCTTGTAGACTGTTACGTGTGCATATGTGTCCTGCTAGATTGTGAACTACTCGGGGCTGGGGGAGATAGAGACTGCCTGTATTAGTCAGCTCAGGCTGCCATAACGAAATACCATAGACTGGTGGCTTCAAGAACAGACAGTTATTTTCTCACAGTTTTAGAGGCGGAAAGTCCAAGACCAGGTGCCTGTATGGTTGGTTTCTGAGGAGGACTCTCTCCCTGGCTGGTAGCCGGCCACTGTGTGCTCACATGGCAGAGAGACAGAGAAAGAGAGTGAGTTTTGGTGTCTCTTCCTCTTCTTATAAGGACACCAATCCCATTGGATTAGGACCCACCCTTATGACCACGTTAACCTTAATTACCTCCTGAAAGCCCTGTCTACAGAAACCAGTCACATTGGCGGTTAGGGCTTCAGCATGTGAATTTTTAAAGGGACACAATTAAGTCCAGAGACTGTCTAATATTTAAATCCTTTCCAGCCCTATCCTAACTAGAGTGGGCGCTCAGAAACGCATGGGGAATGCAAAGAAATGGAATTCCAGATCCTCCAAGGAGTTGTTTTTACTGTGCCGTCCTAGGCTGCAGGACTGCTGAGGTCCCACTGCCACCAGGAGGGCAAGAGAGTGAACAGATTTTTTCAGGAGAGGGACTAAAGGAATTGTCACAGCTCCAGCCATTAAGGATCAGCCTCATGAATTTACTGTCTACGATAAGAATACTGTGAGGCTGCTGTCCAACCCTAAGAGAAATTCCATCTAGTTTTTAGTACTAAGAACAACAGTGATCTTCTGAGCATTTGCTTTTGTTAAAAAAAATATATATATATATATATAAAAATACATATTGTGAATGATGTAACTGATCAGATGGTCTCTCTTTTGCATTGGCCAAATGTGAGGCCCATTTGTAATGACAGCGCAGTGACGGCCATTGTGATGGGCACTTCTGGCCTCATTATCTTCATGTCCCCAATCACGTTTTTTATCTTCTTTTCCGCCTATTTATAATTTATGCAATCTTGCTATATTTTAGACACATTTTAAGTTTTCAGAATTCCACAGATCTTTTCAGAAACATAGTGGGGCTTAAATGCATTTTAAAAAATAAATAAAGGGGCCAGCCTGGTGGCATAGTGGTTAAGTTCTTCTGCTCTGCTTCAGTGGCCCAGGGTTTGCATGTTTAGATCCTGGGTGCAGATCTACACACTGCTTATCAAGCCATGCTGTGGAGGTGTCCCACATATGAAAGAGAGTAAGATTGGCACATGTGTTAGGTCAGTGACAATCTTCCTCAAGGAAAAGAGGAGGATTGGTGGCGGATTTAGCTCAGGGCCAATCTTCCTCACCAAAATAAATAAATAAATAAATAAAATTGTTCATACATTCCTGAGAGGGATCAACAGTTCAAACACCAAAGTCCAAGAAGTGTGATAAATTCACATATAGGCCTGGCAGGGAGTGGAAAAAAAAAATCTCTATCTCTACTTATGTATTAGTTATTGAACTAATCCTTACAATAAACTTTAAAAATAGCTACTAAAATCCCCATTACAGAGGAAAAAACTGAAGCTCATGGAGATTAAGTAACATGTCTGAGTTGGTGGAGCTGATGTTCAAATCCTGGTCCACCTGATGTCAAAACTAACATCCTTTCCATCTGGTTCCCCTGCTTCCAGGATAAAGGCTAAATGTCCGCAAGTCCAGCCCTGGGGAGGGAGCAGGAAAGGCACAGTCCAGAGGCGAGACGGAGTAATGGCCTTGGGAGGTTCTGTCCTGGGATAAGGGGATTCAAGTCTCCCAACTGCAACTGGGAGCCCATAGGTGGGGGTCCAGCCTCTGGGGTGAGAGGCTGTGGCAGGAGCGACTTGTGTTACTGGAGACATCTGGGCCCCAGCCGGCCAGGCCTGGATGCGGGGCCAGGCTCCAGGACAGAGGAAAGCTGAAGTGAGAACTGAGTCAGAAACCCTGTTTTGGGGTGTTGACAGTTGAGAAAGAAAGTATAGATGAGGTTTGGGGGGTACCACAGTACCCCCAGAAATATCTCCAGCACTTTGAGTTAATAAAGTAGTTCTTTGGGCCAATAAAGTAGTTCCAGATCCCACCAGCTGTGTCAATAGGGCTCCTACTGTCCCTTCAGGTCTGGGACTGCCTTGGGGACCACAGCTGGGCATAGTAGGGCAGGGCATTTCAGTTCAGTAAGCATTGGTCGAATGTCTGAGGTGTGCTGGGTGCTGGAGGAACAGAGAGCAATCATCCCGGGTCCTGACCTTGGGAACCTCACTGCATCATGGGGGCAGACAGGTCTGAAGCGGGTCTGTTTAGGCCTGGAGCCAAGGGTCATGGTAGAACTCACATTCACACGTCTCTTTTCCAGGGCCATGTTCTGCAATGATTTAAAGGAAAAGTATGAGAAGAGGATCATTATCAAAGGGGTCGACGCTGAGACCATGCACGTTCTTTTGGACTACACGTACACCAGCAAGGCGCTGATCACCAAGCAGAACGTCCAGCGGGTCCTGGAAGCTGCTAACCTCTTCCAGGTGCGTGAACAAACAGGTTGTGCACTCTCCTCTGGAGCAGGGGAAAGCAGCGATTCCCAGACACCTGCCTGGACTGGCTCCCAGGCCTGCACCTGGGAGGCACACACTTACCTGGGCCTGTGCTTACTTGAAAGTCAGAAGATGCTTCTTTGGAAATTTCCCAAGTGGTGGTGAGAGGGAACATTGACTCCTTAATGAAATGAAGCGAGGGGAGCTCAGTGCCTAGAAGCTACCCTTTGTTCCTGAGTCCAGGAACAATGACTATAATTTCCTAATTGGAACCAGGGGCTGCAGTCACCACTTCATATACGTAACTTCTAATCCTTACCTCAACATGGGGAGACAGTTACTTTCCTCCACTTTATGAGTGGGGAAAGTAAGGCACATAGAGGATAATTGACAAGGCTATGATTTGAACCCTGGGCTTTCTGGGTCCAGGGGCCACATGCTTGCCACTACACCATGCAGTCTCTTGGGGAGGAGTGTCTAGATTCTTGGGGATGCAGGACCTTGACTGGTCAGCACTTTGTGGTAGGTGTGAAAGAAGGACACTTCACATGAGGGGTATTGCAGAAGATGAGATAGAGAACCCTCAGAATTAATTTCTACTGTTTCCCTTTGACCATGTTTCAATCTGATTATAATAATTATATTTAGCTTCCTATGAGGCTAATAATTAGCCCCATCGATTCTGTCCACTGCATCCACAATGATCACAGGGGTTCTATCCCAAGTTACTATCTTTGCCTAGGTCTAAGATTACACCTTGAACTTGGTTCCATTCAGTTATGACAGAGATTGTCTCACTGAGAATGTTGAGGTTTATGATAAACAGAGTCCAGGGACAGGCCAGCTCACTCCCAGGGACCAGGGACAAGCATCAGATCTTGTCCATGGTTTGGGACTTTGGGAGGTGGCATCCTCTTGGATCATCAGTAGGTCAGCTGTTGAGGGAAACAGAAAACAAAGTCTGGGAAGGTGGGGAATGAGGAGTCCAGAGTCAAGACCATGGGAGGCTGGAGTCTGGGCAGCATCAGTGAAATCCAGCAAGGAAGAGAGAGTGGAAGTTGGGAGGAAAACCAACCATGAAACAGTGCTGATGAATTCCGAGTAATGGGTTTCTGCTGTGTTAGCCAATCTTGCTGTCTCAGTTTCCTCAGGGTGTTTTAAAGATAAAAGCAAGTTATCTCTGGCAGAGCTGGTCAAGCCTTACCTGGTGATGTGTCCAAGTTAGTTACCACCCGCACACCCAGCCTTCACCCTTTGTCTGTCCTTACCTGCTTACACCCTCAGCCTTACTGACGGGCAGGGCAACGCTCTTCATTTTGTGGAGGGAGGGGCTCGGCAACCTCATGCTGGGCAGCCCCATCTCATCCCCTCCCACTGCTGCTCCAACAATCTAACTTCAGGGGAATCCTTCCCATGTCATGGAAATGCCTCTATCTAGTTCAGCTTTTATGCCTTTTCTGAACCTTCTCTTAAAAGGCAAATATCCCCACTCTGCCCCACCTCCCCCAAAAGGGCCAATAACCTTGAGCAGAATCGCCCCATTCGCCATTATTCAATCAAGCCACAGCTGCCATTGATATCTTCATGCTAATCTCCTTTCCTGGGGCCCAGAGAGGGTTGCTGACTTGTCTGAAGACAGACAGGTAACACTGACATAACAGTAATGGCACTTATTCTTTCAAGTATGGTGTCTGACGCCAAAGTAGATGCTCAATGAACACAAGTTTTATTGAGTGTTTAATATGTGCCACGAGTGACAAAGTAGGAGATAGATTTTGTTTTTCAAAATGCAGTTTTTCCCATTTTTAAATTGCAACAACATTATAAACTCATCATACATAAATTAGAACCCATACAAGCAAAAAGAACATAAAAATTATCCACAGTCCCCGACTATTCAGAGAGAACATGGCAGCTTCCTTGGTATATATAATTCCAGGTTCTTTCCTGTGCATTAACTTGTACCGAGGCGGCTAGCAGGGTGCTGGATTTAAAACCCAGCTCCGCCACTTACCAGCTGTGTGACTTTGCACGAGTTTTATCATCCTTTGTGCTACAGTTTCCTTTTCAGTAAAATGGGGAGAATAATAGGGCCTATTTCATAGAGTCGTAATATTTGTAAAGTGTTTAGAACAGTGCTTGGTACATCATGAATGCTACATACATGTTTGTAATATTATGACCTACTACATACATGTTTTAGAAGAATGGACTCCTATTGGACACACTGTTTTGAGTCTGTTTATCCTACCTGTATTGTACTGTAGTCACCTTTTCACGTCATCTGTTGATGATTGTAATGGCACTTATAATGGCTGAATGGAACTCAATGGTATAATAATTTAGTGAATCAATCTCTATTGCTGAAAGTTTAGATTGTTTTCATCTACTTGACTATTTAAAACTTGCTGTCATAGACATCCTTTTACTTTTATTTCATACGGATGATATGAATATCCTAATAGAAATGAAATGAACTAAGGATGTGAACAGGTAATTTACAAAAAAAAAGAAGATCAAATGGTCAACAAATATTTTTTAAATGCCAAACTTCACTAGTAATCCAAAAGGCAAATTAAGTCCACAATAAAATAACATTTTGTCTATTGCTTTGGCCAAGATTATGTATATATAATATAATAGGCAGGTTTGCAAAAGTGAGGCGAAATAGGCACTTTTGTTCATTGCTGGTGGAAGCATAAATGGAAACCTCTTTCTGGAAATCACTTTGGAAATAGACATTAAAAACTTTAAAAATGTACATGCTAAAGAAATAAGTAAGGATGTTCAATGTATTTCATATAAATTGCTTTGTAGAGGGTTAAATTGTGTCCCCCAGAAAGATATATGTCCAAACCCTAACTCCTGGTACCTGTGAGTTGACTGTATCTGGAAATAGAGTCTTTGCTGACGTAACTGAGTTACAGATCTCAAGATGAGATTGTACTGGATTTAGGGTGAGCCCCAAATCCAATGACTGGTGTCCTTATAGGAGAAAGGAGAGGGAGATTTGACACAGAGACCCAAAGAGAAGAAGACCGTGTGAAGACATAGGCAGAGATTGTAGTGGTGCAGCCCCAAACCAAGGAACGCTGAGGGTTTCGGGCAGCCACTGGAAGCTAGGAGACGTGGAAAGACATCTCCCTCAGGTCCTCTAGAAAAAACCAACCCCACCAACAATTTGATTTCAGACCTCTGCTCCCAGGACCGTGCGAGAATAAATTTCCGGTTGGTTTAGCTGCCAAGTTTGTGGTCATTTGTTACAGTAGCCCTAGGACATTAATTCAAGCTTAAAAAGTAAACCACAGCTAAAAGTCTTAAAACAAAAAGCAGCAACCTCCTGTTCCCACTCTTCTGGAACAATTACTTTCACTTGCTTTTAAATGTTTCTTCTTTTATTTACTTTCATATTTCTAAATGATCTGTGTATATTGCTCTCTCTCTCTCTCTTTTTTTTTTTTTTTTGAGAAAGATTAGCCCTGAGCTAACATCTGCCACCAAGCCTCCTCTTTTTGCTGAGGAAGATTGGCCCTGAGCTAACATCTGTGGCCATCTTCCTCTATTTTATATGTGGGATGCCTGCCACAGCATGGCTTGACAAGCAGTGTGTAGGTCCCTGCCTGGAATCCAAACTGGCGAACCCTGGGCCACTGAAGTGGAGCAAGGGAACTTAACAACTATGCTACTGGGCTGGCACCTATTGCTATCTCTTGATGCCTCGATTTTAGATCATGTTTTCTCCCTCTGTCCTGCCCTAATCTGAACTGGTTGCTCACGAGGGCTGGTACACAGCTGTTATTCCTGGACTTCCCTTTGCTCTCAACCTTGGAGTTCCTTTGAACTCTTTTCTATGTTGGATTTTCTCTTCCTGGGTCCCATGTCTTCCTCTTTCTTGTATACTCCTATGTTTTAATGGGTCACAACCTTTAACAGCTTACAATGAGAGAATAAATAAGAGAGACATTTTTGGAGACTTAAAGGTCTAGAGATATTTTTGTTTTACTTTCATACTTGATTGACTTTTGGCTGGGTATAAAATTCGAGGTTAAAATAATTTTCTTTCGATATTTTGAAGGCATTGCTCCACATTATTACCTATTACACACATATTCTATAAGAATGGGTTCCTATGGGACACGTTTTTTAATCTGTTTACTTCACCTGTGTTGTGTTGTAATCATTTTTTTCAGTTAGTTGGATCCATTTCTGCAATCCATAATAGCTGCAGGTCTTTTTTCATTCATTGTGTTGGTCCCTTCAATTCGAAGATTCATCTCTTTCAATTCTTGGAAGTTTTCTTGTATTATCTCTTTCATACTTTCTTTCCAACTCTTTTATCTGTTCTCTCCTTTGGAACTATTACTAGTCAGGTGTTGGATCTCCTGGATTTAATTTTATTTTTTCTTCCTTCTCTCTCCTATTGACCATCTCTAGACTTTTTGTTCTACCTTCTAGGAGATTTCCTCAACTTTATCTTTCAACTCTTCTGTGAATTTTAAATTTCTACCACGATATTCTTAGTTTCCAAGAGTCCTTATTGTTTATTTTAATAGATTCCTATTCTTATTTCTTTGAGGCTATTATAATATATTTGAAGTTTTCTTCTGCTCTCTCTCTTTCTTTTGAGTTCCTTTACTCTGCTTATTTGCTTAGGTCTCTGACTTCCATCTTGGAGGATGTGTCAGTTTCCTAGGACTGCTACCATAACTAATTACCACAAACCAGGTGGCCTAAAGCAACAGCAATTTATTCTCTCACAGGTCTGGAGGCCTGAGCTCTAAAATCAAGGTGTCAGCAGGGCCGTACTTCCTCTGGAGGCTCAAGAGGAGAAACTATCCTTTGTCTCTCCTAGTTTCTGGTGGCTGTTGGCATTCCTTTACGTATGCCCTCACCACTTCAACCTCTGACGTCGTGGCCACATTGCCTCCCCCTCTTCTGTGTGTCTTCTCCTCTGTGAGTCTGTGTTTTATGAAGATACATGTGATTGCATT